CGACGTCGTTGCCCCAGTAGTCGACGTGCTCTTCGACCGACGAGCACTGGTCCGGCACGGTAATGTCGTTGATGACCGAGGCCTTGGCGCCGGGGTAGTTCGACTTGGCACCTTTCTTGCTTTTGAGCCAGCACGAGCCGCCGTCGTGGCGGTTCCAGACAAAGAGACGACAGCCGGGCGTGTTCTTGCAGTCGGCGCAGCAGTCGTCGGCCGACGGGCGCGCCGTGCGACCGATGTCGTTGCCCCAATAGTCGACGTCGGCTTCGATGGGCGCGCACGTGGGCAACGCCGTCGCAGCTTGCAGCGCGAGCGCCACGACACCCGCAAAGACCGAGGTGTGCATGAGCCACAAAGTTGGAAAGTGACGAGATGCAAATGCGAGGCGTCGAGTTAGCCAGGACCACGGCTTGGTGCAAGAGAGAGTCAGAAACAGACGCAGAGACAGCAACTGTCAACGTCCTTGCGCCGGACACGTATTGTCGACGAGACGACATGTATATGCAGCGTTGTATGAGTCTGGTTCTGCAAACGCGCCCAGATGGCGACGGTCCGAGTTTGCCCCGGCATTCGCATCCGCGTAACATGGGAAATGAACATGTGGTATAATGTGATTACTGGTGATCAAGCGCTGTCGCAGCCACACGTTAGCGCTCTTGCAGGGTACACAACGTTACCTTTTGACGAACACAAGGAGCTCCGAAGTCTAGGTACCGGTATTTGAATTGGTAATGGGACGACGATCCATGCGCTGCCTTTCGCGCCTCTACGGCTACGGTGTTGAACAAGAAAGCAACCATTACTTTGTAACTTCACTACCTATTAATAATGCGTTGAGGAGTTTGCTCGCCCTGTACCGGTACACAGATGAGTGCGTCAAGTGCAAACGAGGCAATATGGATGTGAACGCGTTCTCACTCATACATGCTCTAGTACTGTATGACAGAACTACCGGTAGAGTGCAGTGCGTCCGACCGGGCTTTAAGATATACTGTTGTGCATCTAATTTATTGCATTACCGGTACCGGTAGTGGTGTGTGTCCTTTTTACAGTACAGTAGTGCATACAGTTGTGTGACTCTATTTGAGAATGCTCAAGCAACTGAAGGACAGCTTTATCCTGGCTTTATCCAGTAGAGTGCGGGAGCATTTGTCATCGCATGGTCAAAACATGTGGTGGGGTCGATCATAAGTCTGCTACTGTACCGGTATGCGAGCCTACACAGCTCTACACAGCTCTGCAGTACCTTGTGCATTAAGCTGGAGCACATGCGGCTTGGAGGCCAGCCTTTACCATTGAAGTCGGTTAAAAGTGTCTCGCGCACTAATGTACTATGAGTACAGCGCTACGCAGTCTACAAACCACGCTTTTTACACGTACAAAACACTTACAGGGTCGCTGGCGTGTCCGTTTATGCGAGAAATCAAACCAGAACGCAAGGATTGCTTGTGGCGCGGCAGTTGATGGCGCGGTGCTCCACCGACTTTAATTTTCACTCCAGTGTTTCCCAAATCATTCGAATATATCACACTTGGCATAGCTTGTGGCTGTGACAGAACCTTTTGAGCGGTAATCAGCTATGCAACACACAACACATGTTGCGTTACTCAACGCACCCGAGGTGTGCATGAACCACACATGTGAAAAGTACTACAGTCTGTAAGATGCAAATGCCATGAGTCGAGCGCAGGACCCACTGCGCGCCCATCGAAGCCAACGTCGACTATTGGGCAACGACATCGGTCGCACGGCGCGTGCAACGGCCGACATCTGCTGCGACGACCGCAAGAACACGCCGGGTTGCCCGCTCTACGTCTGGAACCCCCACGATGGCGGCTCGTGCTGGCTCAAGAGCAAGAAGGATCCCAGGACGCAATCTCCAGGTGCCCAATCGGCGACGCTCGAGGTGACGCCTGCACGCACGACGAGCACACCTGCGCCAACCACGGTACCGCCTGTGCCCACGACCGAGACGCCCGATCCCACGAGCGCCACGCCGGAGCCGACCACATTTCCGTCGAAAAAAAGCGACCACGGCCACTCCCGTGCCCAGTACAGGCACGCCCGAGCCTACGACCTCGGCACCGCAACCGACGACCTCGACACCTGCGCCCACGACCGCCGCGCCGGAGCCCACGATTAAGACGTCTGTGCTAACGCCTGCTCCAGTGGTTTCGTCGCCGGCACCTTCGACGAACAGCACGACGCCCAGCGTCCACGACATTCGCACGCTCAAGTACACCGCCTACGAGCTCACGTACGACTGCAAGGAGCGCACAGCGCTGCGCTGGTTCTACGTCATGGGCAAAGATGTTGGTAACGCGAAGCGTCCGGGGTCGTTCTACGAAGACCCGAACATGCCCGAAGGTTGCTTGCAGCAAAAGTCGACCAAGGCGTACTCGAATGGCTACGATCGCGGTCACTTGGTCACGTCCAACCACATGGATACGGACGCCACCATCGCCCGCGAGTCACACTACATGAACAACGTTGTGCCGCAAGTGTCGACCTTCAACCAGGGCATTTGGGTCCAGACTGAGAAGCTTCAAGAATGCT